TCACGAGACTGTTAAATTGCAGGAAAGCAGGTTACACAAGCAGCTTAGTCAGTAGGCTTTGGGAATTAAAGTAACACATGCAGAGCGCTTAGACCAGTGCCTCGCAGAAACAATGAATGAATTATGGACATTACAAACTAGGGAACTCAGGAAATGACGTGCCCAAGGTCACACCGATGATTGAGAAATTCGAGCGTAGCCCGGGTTCTCGGCTTTGTCTCCTTTAGAGAACAGATACCTGAGTTCACAGGTAGTCCCAGACCGCCCTTCACACTGCCAAATACGCAGGGCAAATTAAAACGTAGCCAATCAGAGACAAAGGGGCGGTCACCTTGCGGGCTGCGGAGCTGCAGCGCCTGTCCGGAGCCCAGGGCTGGGCGGCAGCTCGGCGAGTTGGCGCTGGGAGAGACCCGGGGAGCCCCTGAAGCGCGGTCCCCGCCATGAGCGTGCGTCCGTGCCACCGGCCCCGACTCGCAAGAGCCCACATCCCGGGCAACAGAGGCGTCAGCAGAGGGTCCCGAGGCGCGACGGCGCCATGGCCCGCGTTGGGGGTGGGCAGAGAGGAAGACTCGCTGGTTCGCCACCCAAAGGGCGGTTCGGCGAACGCAGTACCGCCCCTCGACGTCCGCACGCCACACGGCGCCGTGACGTCAACGTGCCGCCAGCGAGGTTGAAAGGGAGTCACCGAAGCGGAAGTTTCCTGAATATGTTAGTTGTGACCCCAGCACGCTATTGGTATTTAGGCTCCTAAGAAATGGCAAGATAATATTGCAGTTGCTTCAAAACCTGGAAGTCGTAATATATTCCCCATGTAGTAAATGCTATAGCTAATATTTTAGTGGAGCTGAAAGGAAATGGGCGATAAAATTGATTGCAGTCGTGTCCTAGGAAAGTTTTGATCAGAAGAGAAAGTGGGAAAAGTTACACCCTGAACGCGCTAATACCTCCAACATCTTCAAGTTTGAACTTTAACAAATGTTTACTTTGCAGAGGGCAGAGCTCTGGCAAAGTAAGGTAGGGGATAATTACTGAGACCCGTATCCCACATCCAGAGTTTGTCTCCCACTGTCTCTCTCTTGTGGGCTTCTCTGGAACATCCAGGATTTGGTACAGAGAAAGGCAACAACCCCTGTGTTTAATAAATGGTTGTATTGTTTCTGGTTTCTTACTGGGATTGTTCATATTTTATACACCACTAATTGCTACTGTCTCCGTTGTTAGAGAAAAAATGGCTACCTTGAAATGCAATGAATAATTCATATTAGTTCATGTAAATCAGTGTTTCCCAAACTGCATTAATTGGCATGTTATCATTGATTTTCACCATATCCTCATATTGCTATTATATACTTAATATTTTTCTTTAAATCAGCCTACCTTTGGTACTTCATGAATTTAGAGAAAAAATTGTATCCTTGTAAATGAAAAAAGTAATATGACTTGTCATAAGTTAAAAAAAATAAAAATAAGTGCAATGACTAAAAAATGTGATGCAATTCTGGCTGTTACCTGATAAAGGTTCTAAATCTCTCTTAATTTAAGACAGTGATTAGCAAGCATTAAAGGATTTAAAAACAGCACCAAACTAAGATTTTTCTCCTTGACCTAATGAGCAGTACTGAATACAATTGAAAGAATTTCTCTTTATTATTCAGTGACCTTAATGCTATATATCGTCTCACCTAAAATCTTGGTATCTCCATTAGCCCCATACTTAGGAACACTACAGTATCTTAATGTGATTGACATTATATTCCCAAACCCACAAATGAAGTATGTATTCATTAGAAAAATATTCACTGAGCATCCTTATGTCAGTCAATAAGGTGTGGAAACTTAGTGAAATTAAGCAAATTATCTGAAATTGCATAATAGGTAAATAGAAAAATCTATATTTGTATCAAGATTGTTAGAAACCAAAGTTTATCCCTCTGCAATATCTTTGACAGCACAAAATTATTGAGTCATGAAAGTTTCAAAGTGGAGGTATATTTTCTTCTGAGCCTGAAGGATAAAATGTTTTTCTCAGATAACTGAAGCCTAATCAAGCAGAGGGATCATC